GGTGATGAATAAACAGGATCCTAATTTAAACTTCATCAATGTTTTTTTCCAGCTTGATTTTTAATTTCCATATGTTCACTGCTTCTCCTCCCATCAAATTTGCTTTGACTTCTTCAGGGGGAACTGACAGAGACCCCCCCAGGCTCCAAATTTGTTTTTTTCAAGCCAGCCTCCACAAAACAGCAAAAGCAATAGAGTTTAAACAGCATGGGCCATTTCCCACCTGGATTTTTTTTCATGTGACAATGGTGATGCTGAGCTTGCAGGACTCATCTCTATCTCACAAGTGTGAGGCATGTGCAAGTTAAGCAGAAGTGAACAGGCATTGGGAGGGGGAATTGCACTGTTTTTTCCCCGTGTTTTCCATTTTTCAGACTTTTTTGGGGGGGTTTATTCTGTTTATTCAAGACAGACAGGGCTGGAGAGCAAACAAAAAAGTGCAGTGTTGAAAGGGGTATCAGGGCAGGCTGGACGGAGCTTGGGACAGCCTGGGACAGTGAAAGGTGTCCCTGCCCATGGCAGGGGTGGCACTGAATGAGCTTTAAGGTCCCTTTAAGGTCCTTTCCAACCCAAACCACTCCATGATTCTGTGATTCCCTGCACAGCTCTTGGTCTCCAGAGCTGCTCATCCCACCCAGACATGGTTCCTTATTCAGCTGTTATTCCTAAATAACTCTCCTGCTTCTGAAAGAGTATCTGATTGCAGAGCAAATTAATTAGCAATAATGGGATAAACAGATAATGAGCTGAGCCAGCCGACCTAGACCTGATTGATTTTCCTGCCCTTTTAACAAAGAGAGGGCTACTTTTTTTATTTATTATCATTTCATTTGTGTGCTCCAGTTTAAGCTGAACTGTTTGTAAATTACAACCATGGAGAAGCGAAGCTTTCTCAAAAACAAATAGAAATAATTTCTCAAAAACAAACAGAAATATTGCTCTGTGCTCTGGGACCGTGACATAAAAGAGGCAAGTGAAAGTCAGCAGGAAGCAGAGAAGTGGTGATTCCTGCCTTGCAGCCTTCAGGAGCTCAGCCACACCTCACAGAGAGGGATTTTCCTCTGTCTGTGAGTCTGGGAAGCAAAACCCTTTATCCCAACCCTTCATTCCCAGCTCAGCAGCCACCGTGGTGCACACATATGTCCAAGCTGGAAAAGCATCTGGAGCTAAATCCCAATTTTCACTGAGGCTGGGATTGCATTCCTCCCTTCTGGAATACAGAATCATGGAATAGTTTGGGTTGAAAGGGACCTTTAAAGGTCATCTTGCCCAACCCCTCTGCCATGATTTCACCTCATCTGGCCAAATCCCCTCCAAGCCAGGGAACACCAGCACAGAGATTATCTGTGAAATGTGGGGTTCTTTCCTGCACACCTGAGATGCTCACTAAGATTCTCCTCATTTTAAAGATTTTGACAGCAGTCAAGACAATCTGAACAGGATTCCTCACATCCTGAAAGAGCTGCCTCCACCTGGCCAGGACACACCAGGGATACCCAAAAGCAATGAAAATCCCTTGCCAAAAGTCATTCCCATGCCGTGGCTGCCCAGGTAAATCTGGTCTCTGTCTGCCTACTCCTGATTTTAATGGCAAAGAATCCACCCCTGTGTTTGAATCAGGTGTCATTTGATGTAATTTCAGCACTGAGTTAAAGAACACCAGGGCAGAGGAGTGCAAGGCCAGCCCTGTGCTGCAGCACAGCTGCATCCCACACACCCTTCCAGAAACTGGGCAGGCTCTGCCACAAAATCCATAAAGCTCTCCTTCCTGCAGACCTGCAGAGAGGCTGCTCGGTGTCCTCTGAGAGTTAAAAACTTCCTGAAAAGCCCAGACTTTGATCTCTCAGCCGTTTGGTTCTCCTCTGTACACGCTGCCAGCTTCAACCGCTTTTCCCTGGGGGTTTCCCCCTTCACTGCATCCTCTGCAGCCTTTCCTGTGCTGCAAAACAAACGAAACAAACTTCTCCTCCTCAGACTTGGGCAATATTTAGTGAGCCCTGGGGTGTAGAATCACAGAATCATCAGGGTTGGAAGACACCTTTAAAATTATCGAGTCCAATGGTCAAGCCTCCTCAAATATGGGTGAATTCAGATATTGAATCACACTCCCAGCAGGGAATAGAGGGATTCACATGGATCATCTCCTTCCACCCCCCTGCCATGGGCAGGGACACCTTCCACTGTCCCAGGCTGCTTCAAGCCCTGTCCAACCTGGCCTTGGACACTTCCAGGGATGGATTAAGTTTAATCTGTAAAGAAACCTGGATTTCATGCACGTTCAGCCCCTATGAGGAAGGGGTGGGTGTTTGAAGACAAAAAAAAAAAGAGGCTTAAGAAGGATGTTATTGTTTATCAGTGGAAATCTACCTGCTTTACCTGAGCCAGTGATCAACCTCAGCATCACCATCAAGGGCTCTTAACAAGTGACTGATCTGTCTGACACATCAAATTACAGCTGTGATTAAGCCCCTCTGATCAATACAATTGATAATGGCTCCTAAACAAAGCTTTCCTTCCAGAATGTACTGAGGCACTGTGTTTATTTCCACTCATTTGATTAGAAAGGATAACGAATCACTCGTTAACCCTCCAGTGATTCTCCTGTTCCTGAAAAGGCAACACAACCACCTGGCCATAAATCAAAGTTTTACACTGCAGAGCACAGGGAGCCTCCATTGCTTTCCATCCTCCTGTTCTGGGGGATGGAACTGGGTTAAAATCATGTTTTTCCTCAGAGTTTTACTTGGATTTCTCTTTCCAGCAAGACTGAGATGAAGCAGTCATCACCTTCACGTGATCTCATATCATCATCTCCAGGAGATTTCTCTCCAACAAACTTCCCCCTCATCCCCAACCGTCAAAGTTCAAAGTTTGGTTTTACAGCTCAGCCACATTTATTGAGTTATGGATCCCCACTCCAGAAAAACATCTTTGACCTACTTGTGCTCACATGCTGTGAACATTCTGAAGGGGAAACACATCCTGTGTCAGCACTTGGAAACTGTCTGTCCACACAGCACACAACAGAGCTCTCCATACACTCATCCACAGTCACACATCTAAGAGTCAACAATTCTGATTTTTCCTGTTGCCTCCAGGACAGTTGTGAGTGTCTGGATAATAAGGTCAGGTATTGAGCTCCTGAATACCTGCTGATGTTTTGGGGTGAATGGATGCCAACTGCTTCCCACAAAGGAAGGGACCTTAAAATCATCTCAGTCATCATTCCAATCCCCTGCCATGGGCAGGGACACCTTCCACCATCCCAGGGTGATCCAAGCCCTGTCCAGCCTGGCCTTGGACACTTCCAGTGATCCAGGGGCAGCAACAGCTTCTCTGGGCACCCTGTGGCAGGGCCTCACAGGGAAGAATTCCTTCCCAATATCTCATCTAAACCCACCCTCCTTCAGTTTGAAGCCATTCCCCCCTGTCCTCTCACTCCAGTTCCAGTACTGTCTCCATGGACAAAACCAT